GAACCACAGAAGTGCCACAATGGCTTAACAAAGTAAAAGAAGTAGAGATGAAAAAGGCATGGTTCGAAAAGTGGAAGTTTAAATCCTAGTGAGGAAAAATAAGAGCATAAACTGGCAAATGAAATATAACTATGATTAGAAAGGTCAAAAAATTTGATAGCCAAACGTAGTAAAAATTAAGTACATCAGAAGCAGGAAGCCAGCTCAATAAGCACTGTGGCCACTAGGTGATCAAGCTCCTAAAGGAACACTGAAGGATGATGTCATTGCCGATAAACTAAATGAATTCTTTGTGTTTTTTCACTGCTGAGGATGTGAGGGGAGATTCCTAAATCTGAGCCTTTTTTTTGTGACACATCTGAGAAGCTATCCCAGATTGAGGTGGTTTGGGAATAAATTGATAGTGATAAGTCATCAGGACCAGATGGTATTCACCTGAATATGAAATCACAACACTTCTAACTGTGGTTTGTAACATCCTTAAATCATCTTCTGTACCAAATAACCAGAGGGTAACTAATATGGTACCAATTTTTAAAAAGGGATCTAGAGGTAATTCTATCAACTATGGGCCAGTAAGTCTAACTTGGGTACCTGGCAAATTAGTTGAAACTATATTAAAGAACAGACTAACTGGACTCACAGATGAACATTATGTCAACATCATTTCTGCAAAGAGAGCATCCCTCAGAATTCTAGTAGGTTTTGTATCAAGCCTGTGGCCAAGAGGGATCCTGTGGAAAGCCTTTGACCAGGTCTATCAGTGAAGACTCTTAGGCTGCATCTAGACTGGCATGATTTTGTGCAAAATCTTGCTGCCTGTTTACACTGGCTGCGAGTATTTGTGCAAGAACACTGACTTTGTAATGTACAAAATCAGTGGTTCTTGCATAAATAGTCTGATGCTCTCGCTCAGGGATAAGCCCTCTTGCACAAGTATTCTTGTGCAAGAGGGCCAGTGTAGACAGCAATGTTAATTTATTGCGCAAGAAAGCCCAATGGCTAAAATGGTCTTTGGCACTTTCTTGCACAAGAGAGCTTCTACACTGGCATGGATGCTTTTGCATAAAAGCAAATCTTTTGCACAAAGGCACATGCCAGTATAGACGCTCTTGCGCAAATACTTTTAACAAACTTTTCCGTTACAAGTATCTGCGCAAAATCATGCCAGTTTAGATGCAGCCTTAAAGTAAGCTGTCATGGATTGGTAACTGGTTAAAAGACAGGAAACACAAGGTAGGAATAAATGGTCAGTTTTCAGAATGGAGAGAAGTAACTAGTATCACATGGGATCCAACAGAGGTCCGGTCCTTTTAAATTATATATAAATTTTAGAATGCCTGTCTGTTTCTCTGCAAGTCCATGGCTGTGTCTACACTGGGCCACTTATTCCAGAAAATCAGCTGCTTTTCCGGAATAAGCTGCGAGCTGTCTACACTGGCCCTCGAATTTCCAGAAAAGCAACAATGCTCTACTGTACAAAATCAGCCGCTATTCCGGAAAAACTACTCTGTTCCCACTCGGGCATAAGTCCTTATTCGGGAATGCTGTTACAGAAAAGGGCCAGTGTAGACAGCCCAGTAGTCTTTTCCGGAAAAAAGCCCCGAGCACGAAAATGGCAATTGGGGCTCTTTGCCAGAAAAACGTGTCTACATTGGCCACAGACGCTTTTCCGGAAAAGGGGCTTTTCCGGAAAAGCAGCCTGCCACTGTAGATGCTCCTTTTCCAGAAAAACTGAAAATGGAATAGTATTCCATTTTAAGCATTTCCGGAAATTCATGCCCGTGTAGACACAGCCCCTTTAAGAACTCCTTAAACGATAGGATCTAGGGACTCTAAATTTAGCATGCAGTTTCCTCTTCTAACTTAAAGCAAGCTCAGGCTGTGGTTGTTCCAGGGCACACAGAAATTTTGGGAAAAGGACTGTTTTCCATAACATGCAGAAGGAGGGGCTGATGTTTGAAAGAATGTGATGTGAGAATGTCCATAGAGGCCAGTGAGCCTGCAGGGAAGAGCTAGCCTGCAGTGTTTACTAGGGCCCACCACACCACTAGGAGTGGCTGATGGGCTGGGGCTTTGTCATCTGGCTTGCCAGCACACCAAATTGCTCCCTTTCCCACCTTCTTGCCCCTTGCCTAAGGGGTCAAAGAGGGAGGGAAGAAAGACAAGCCCCTGGGGGCTAGGAGGAGGTTGCAGGGGAGAAGAGGCCTGTGCCCTGAGCCCCTCCACACCCCACCCCTTCCAGCCTCCTCTTCTCCCCCATCCACATCCCCAGGCCCTGCCCTGACTCCTGCACCTTTCCACCACCATCAGCCTTCTGCTCTGAAGGATCCAGGCAAAACTCAGTAAGTCTGACAGTATATTAATAAATTATTTGAAGAAAGGTTTATAGAAGCATGAGATATTTGCTCTTATTTTCTATTCCTTTAATAATTTACCTATCATACACCTACATCTTGAATATGGCATGCCTTGCCTCAAAAAAGGTATCTTGGCATTGGGAAAAAGTGTCAAAGGGCAACTAAATGAATAGGGGTATGGAACAGTTGCTGTATGAGCAGAGATTAATAAGACACAGATTTTCCAGTTTGGATAGGAGATGACTAATGGGGAGGATATGATAAAAATCTATAAAATTCTTTGGTGTGGAAAAAGTGAATAAAAAAGTTATTTACTCATAACACAAGAATGAGAGGATCCACCAAATGAAAGTAATACATTGCAGGCTTAAAATAAACAAAAGGCAGTACTTCACACAACACACAGTCAACCGGTGGAATTCCTTGCCAGAGGATGTGAAGAGCAGCAATTTACCACGGTTCAAAAAAGAGCTAGATAAATTCATGGAGGTTAGATCTATCGATGGCTAATAGCCAGGATGGTCAAGGAATGGTGGCCCTAGCCTCTTTATCAGAAACTGGAAATAATCAAGTGATTCATCTTCTGATGCTCATGTGTTCTGTTCATTTCCCTCTGGGGCACTTGGCATTGGCCACTGTTGGATGACAAGATACTGGGCTAAATGGTGCTTTGGTCTGACCCAGTATTTCTATTCTCATGACCTAAGATAATGGGCTGAGTGATCCCATTCATCACACATTGTAGATGGTATTAGTGTTTTTTTTTTAAAATCACTCCTAAATGGGTCAGTGAAATGAAGCCAAATGAGTGCAAGCACACTTTCAAGAGTATGTTGTCTTGCTGCAACGAGGGAGGCCTGCACGGTACATGTGGCTGTAGTGAAGGCTACGCTCTATTCCTATGGGTGCAGGAGGGGGTACTCGGACCACAGTGACGTGGGTGGCTATGCAGAAAAATTAATGGTTGAATAAGTTGGGATACATTTTTCACAGATCCTGATACTAGAAATAAACATGCTCCACTTGCTGGAGGGAGAAGGAGACTGTAATGAGCAAAGACGTGTTTCCTGCACAGCCTGGTAATGATGGGCGATTGCTAGTTGCCAAGTATGATCATGTTCCATGGGAGTTATGGGCCCTCAGGTGACTGGTAAGGCTGAATCTTGAACCTCAAGTTCTATTACAGTGAGGACAGATGTTTCCAGGTACAGCAGGAGGCTGTTGACTATGACTAGAAGCCAGTCTCTCCCTCCTGCACCTCTTCTCAGTATGTCGGCAGGCAAATTCAAAATGCAGGGAGCCATTGCATAGGACTTGTCTCTATTTTGAGTGATCCTGCGTGAGAGTCACCCAAGTGCCAACATCAATGTTGCACTTTTTTAAGTTATCCTTTAGCAAGTCCTTGTAACACGTCCGTTGTCCTCCCATGTTACGGTATCCTCCTTTCTGCTGAGAAAACAGGATCTGTTTTGGGAAGTGATGGTCTGGCATCTGAACAACATGACCAGTCCAGCGAAGTTCCTGACAGATGATCATTGTCTCAATACTGGTGGTCTTTGCCTCTTCTAGAACATTGATGTTAGTGTGCCTGCCTTCCCATTTGATCTTCAAGATCTTGTGCAGGCAGAGTTGATGATACCGCTCAAGGACTTTCAAGTGATGTCTGTAGGTTGTCCAGGTTTCAGACCCACACAATAGTGGTGGGAGAATGACAGCTTGATAGACAAGAAGTTTGGGGTCTGTTCGAATGTCATGATCTTCAAAAACCTTGTGTTGTAAATGAGCAAAGGCTGCACTGGCACAGCTCAGATGATGCTCGATAACCACATCGATATTGCCTTGGATCAGGGTTTCCCAATCTATGGGTCAGGACCCAAATATGGGTTGCTATTACATTTCAAAAGGGTCGCCAAGTGGTTCCCCGGGTGGCTCTGCACTCCCTCCTCCCCCCATTTTTTAATTGCCTTTGGTCACCAAGTCTTCCTGAATTGTCAAAATGGGTCCCCATCTGGAAAAGGTTGGGAACCGCTGCCCTGGATGAAAGACAATGTCCAAGGTAGAGAAAATGATCGACATTCTCCAGTGTGCCTCCATTGATTTTTAATAGATCGGGCACATGGTACCACATTTGGAGAGGGCTGATGGAGCACTTTGGTTTTCTTGAAGTTGAGGGTAGAACCAAGATGTGTAAGCATCAGCAAATAATATATAGAGTATACACAGTCTGGTAATAGCCAGCTAAAGAACGTAGACACCCAGGCTGAGTCTACACTGGGCCACTTATTCCGGACAAGCAGCCGCTTTTCCGGAATAACTTGCCAGCTGTCTACACTGGCCGCTTGCTTTTCTGGAAAAGCAATGACGATCTACTGTAAAATTGTCAGTGTTTTTCCGGAAAAACTATGCTGCTCCCGTTCGGGCAAAAGTCCTTTTCCGGAAAAACTGTTCTGGAAAAGGGCCAGTGAAGAGAGCACAGTAGTCTTTTCCGCAAAAAAGCCCCGATCGCGAAAATGATGATCGGGGCTTTTTTCCGGAAAAGCGCATCTACATTGGCCACGGCCGCTTTTCTGGAAAAAGTGCATTTCTGGAAAAGCATCCTGCCAATGTAGACGTGTTTTTTCCGGAAATACTTATAACGGAAAACTGTTCCGTTTTAAGCATTTCTGGAAAAGGGTGCCCGTGTAGACGTAGCCCCAGTCCTTGGGTTTCTGTCCAGGGAATGGAGAAGAGGGAGCACTTAACCATGTGTTGTGATGACTTTTGTAGTCAACCTAGGAACTAGCACCAATTGGCCTTTGACTTCCATGTAGCCCATAGGAGCAGTAGTGCTGGCTTGCGCAATGATTCCAGGAGCAGCACTAAGGTGTCTCAGAACAAGCCCATTCAACCTTCTTTGATAGTGGTGGGAACCTCTGTGCAGAGTGTAATGCCACAGATCTCATCATGTTGAAACAAAAGGGGAAGAGAGTCAGATCTGTAGGGCACTCAGCAATACATTGGCATATAGCATAGGAACAGAGGGTAAAACCCCCAATGCCACAGCTTTACCAGAAGGGAGAACCCCAATTTCTAAAGCATAGGGTGAGAACTAAGGAGGAAAGGCTGTTACTCTATTTAAGGTTAACAGGGTTACACAAGTGTCATTATGAACATGATCTGAAGCCAGTGGGGTTACACAGATGTAGCTGGGGGCAGAATTTAGCCTGCATTGCCTCCATTATTAATGCAGGTGTGCACAGCAGAAAGACTGCTGAATTGTCAGGGTTCAATGTGAATTTGCAGGACTGTCAGACAAAAATATTCATTTCTCTTTTGACTTACAAAATCAGTGAATGAATTTGACACCACCACCCCTGACACGTACAGTTGTTACAGTCATTGTATAGGGCAGAACTTCTCAATAGCCAGACCGACCATTTGTGATAAGCCCTACAATAATAAACCAAAGATCAGAGCCTAGCACTCTTGATGAACCCTAAAGTAACAGCAACACTGACAATCTTGTTCTCCCAAGCAACCCCATATAAACAAGCTGCACAGTTTCCATGAGGTTGATCTAAACAACGACGGGTGAAACAAATCCTTGTGAGGATTCTGAAGGTGGAATTGATGGTGCCTATTTAACCAACTGGCCATACACCAGGAGGTATAAAAGAAAACCTCCATACAATATATTAAGAATGATATCACGCTGTTAATTTCACCCAGACAGATACAGGCTCCACAATTCCTCACAATTCTCTGGTTTTAAGGGACATTATCACTGTGATCTGTTGGTTTCTGAGGGGTGAAGGATTTGGAAGGTTTTGTGGTGGGGGAGTGGTACTAGTGAGCAGGACTCTGCCTGGCCATAGAGAGAGTCAGCTTGAATTCCCAGCTCTGGGCTGGGCAGAAGGACACCTTTGTATTGTTTCCAGCACTCTCTTTCTGCCAGTGAGAGATGCTGGGGGGGAGTAGGGTGGAAAAGCTTTCAGTCTAATGGACTCCTAGGGCCTTGGGAAGAGAGGTTAAGAGTGTATTAGAGAGGAGGGGGTACATCTTTGTCCTCTCAGGTCAGTTGTGCAGGCAACAATCTTAGTGATTCATAAATTATCATTCTTCCTTATTATGACTTTGAAATGGCAACAAGTATTTTACCTGTATCAAGACATGCTTGATGCTACCCCTGCGAATGCTGCTGGGCTGAGTTGGGATGAGGTCCCCAGTGGCCCCCGCTGTCTGGGCTCAAGGGATTTTGAGATGGGCCTTTTTATTGGTTTTACACATGTAACCCAAAGAATCAAGGGAATACCCCAGACAAACGATTAGTGTCGTGTCTACCTGGGAAATGTACCTGCAGATACAATTAAAAATAAAAAGGTCAGGAATGTTCCTTTTGAAGTGACCCTATGAAAATAATATTAAAACATCCTGTAAGTATTTAAAATCAATCTTGAAATTGCTAGTGGGCCCTCTCTACCTGTAATTAAAAGGCTGGATCTTTGCTACCATTAATATTTGTTAGGCCCTTTGCATTTTTAAAATGTAGCTCTTCTGTGTATATTACATGACAGTTGGCTCTAGCTATAAATATATATTTTAAAAAGTCCAATAAAGACGTCTCAGTTATATGGGAAACAAGGTCTCTGTTTCCCTAGCACAAAAGGTGCTATATTCTGATGTCATGGATTCAAAGGGGTGCGGAAGCCCCTGATTGCCATCAACAGTTAAACAAAGTGCCCAATGAATACATGGGCTACATTCCGATGCTGAGTGTAAAGGTGATTCGGCCCAGGAAGCGATCGTTACTCGCATCATTCACAATTCCTTCCCCTTTCAGTCGGCATTGAATGGGGACAATATCATTCTTCTTCACATCTGTGAAGTGCATTGCCACCAGTGGGGAGGTGTAGTTGATCTGAAAAGGCGAGACACTGGATTAGGGATGTAACTGGTTAATCGCCAGCCCAGCTGTGCTGAAGGAGCCCCCACCTATGGGATCCTCATTAAGCAGTTAACCGCTTAACTGGTTAAACAGGAATTTACAGTCCTGCACTGGATAAGCACAACAATTGAGCAGGGAGGAAAAACATCAAATATCTTGTTGCCCCAGCCAGTGAAACAGTGTTCGGAGAAAGGGCCCTGCTACTGCTGTGGTGTCAATTGATTTAGCAGTACAGATGCTACAAGGATTAGGAAAGCTAATTTGTGCTAGGCTGCAGATCTGACCCAATGTGTTTGAAAGTAATGAGGACACATTTGAGTTCCTAATATAATATTCCTTATGGATTGATTTGCTACTATTCAAGCCTTCCATGATCAGAAGGAAAGGCTAATGAGGTTATAAAATACCTTTGGCCACTTTAAATTGTGGCTTTTTTGTCTGCAATAATAATGAAAAATAATCATGCTCTTTGTGATCCGTGTGCCCAAGGTACAGGCTCCTGAAAAATCAAGGTTGGAGCATGCATCTTATGTTTCACAAGGGAGCTGTTGTTCCTTTTGGTTTTTTTTACAATGGGAATTTTGTTGCTCACACATCTCAATCTGAACTAGGGTTGCCAGGTGTCTGGTATTGGCCTCTGTCCAATTTTTTTTTTTGCTCAACAACTTTGGTTCCCTGTCATGTGATGGGTTTTTTTTTCCTCAACTAATTTTCTGAACTCTTATTTGAATGTGTACTGCTCATCTAAGCCTCCCCGCACCAAATGGAATCTTAGAGGTGTAGGCCTAGAAGGAACCTCACTCGGCCAACTTTCTAATCACACAAAACTGAAGACCTTTGCCAGGCCGCTCTCCCATGGCCCCAACCCTTTTCTGGCCCCTGCTCACTCCACACACAAACCATGGTCACTCACTCTCCCCCACCCTCACTCATTTTCACCAGGCTGGAGCAGCGGGTTGGGGTGAGTGAGATGAGGACTCCAACTGGGGCCAGGGCCTCTGGGGTGCAGAAGAGTTCACTGGTCTGGGGCCGAGGACTTTGGAATGTGGGAGGGGGCTGTGTGCAGAGGCAGGGGATTGGGATGCTGGAGGAGTAAGGTGTGGGCAGTGGTGGGGCTGGATTTGAGGAGGTTGGGATGCAGGAGGGGGCTCTGGGCTGGTGCAGGAGGGGGTGTGGGTTCTCACTGGGGGGCAGAACTCTGGGGTGCAGCTGGGGAGGAGGATCTGTGGTGCAAGAGGGGGCTCCAGGCTGGAGCAAAGGGGTGTGGGATGCAGGAGGGGGTTCTGAGTTGGGGGCAGGAGCTTGAGGCGCAGAGGGAGGTTTGGGGTGCAGGCTCTGGGACAGAATTTAGGTGTGGGAGGAGTCTCAGGGTAGGGGCAGACAGTTGGGGAGCAGCTTCCAGGTAGTGCTCACCTTGGGTGGCCCCATGCAAGTGACACCATGTTCCCTGGCTCCTAGGCGGAGGCAGAGTCAGGAGGCTTTGCGTGCTGCCTCAGGCCACCCCTGCAGTTCCCACTGACTTTGATTCCTGGCCAATCGAGGCTGTGGAGCTAGTGCACAGGGTAGGGCAGAGGGAGCACACAGATTCCCCGTGGCTGGAAGCTTGACCACAGGGCCCCACCAACTCTAAATCTGTCACTGCATCAGACTTTTAATGGTCCAGTCAGTAGTGCTGACTGGAGCAACCAAGTTCCCTTTTCAACCAGGTGATCTGGTCAAAACCTGGACATCTGGCAACCCTATCACTAAGTAATCTAGTCAGTCCCCTATACTCAAGGCAGAACTAAGTAACAACTGGACCATCCCTGAGAGAGCTTGTCAAACCTGTTTTTAAAAACCTCCCTTGATGTAAATTCCACATCCTCTCTCCAGTGTTCATGTGCTTAACTGTTCCCTGACAGGAACTTTTGCCTAATGTCCAACCCAAAAATTCCTTTGCTGTAATTTTAGCCCATTGCTTCTTGACCTAGCCTCCGATATTAAGGAGAACAATTATTCCACTCTCCTCTGTGTAACCCATCTTTTATATACTTGAAAAATGTTATATATTTTTTTCAATCTTTCCTGATAGATCATGTTTTCCACATCTTTCATTTTTGTTCACATCTTTCCTGAAATGTTCTGCCCATAACTGGACACAATAGTCCAGATGTAAATAGGTCCATTAAAAGCAAGGGCCAACCTTTTCGGAAGTTGATTTGGGGTAACTCAGTTTTTCTCTGCCCAACTTGAGCATGTTGTAAGAAACAGGGCCCTACCCATTTCAAGTTGGGCATTTTAAAGCCCAGCCACCTCAAATCAATGGCTGCTTTGGAAAATTTCAGCTTATGGCACTACTGCTGTCAGCAAACTGAATAGAACTGAGCCCCTGGTAAATATCATACCTATTTTACAGATGAGGAAACTGAGGTACATAAGTTGCTCACAGAGCAAGTCAGTGTCAGAGCTAGAAATATAACATGGAAGTCCTAACTACCAGCCCACAGCCTGCCAACTATGATCTCACAGTGTCTCCCTGTTGGGTCCTGCCCCCTTCCTTCCCCAAGGAGAGATTAAAGGGAAGCCAATAGAGAATTAGCCCCCAAGTTTCTACTTACGTGAGTGAGCTTGCCATAGTATGGATAGAACATGAGATCAAATGTTCCATTGCCTGGATAGAAGTCCACTGATCTAAGAGCACTTTCATTGCCTTTCTGTAATTAAAAATAAGCAGGTGTGTAGTATGTGTGGGCAGTACAGTACAGCTCCCCTCAGGTCAACAACACATCTGGGCTTTGGCAGGCATCTCTGGAGACCCCAGCACAAAAGGCCTAGGTACTTTGTCACCTTTTTATACTGAGTGCTTACCCGTAGCACCAGCTGTTGCTGGAATGCGTCAGAGAACCAAGTGCACAATAACAAACAGGACAAAGGTTCATGTTTACTTCCTATAAATCTGTCTCCAGGCTTCATTGCCTCAGTGTTACTAGCTAAAGGCCTGGGCCAGTTCCCACTGAAACTAGAGGAAGACTTACCAGGCCTTGAGTGCTGGGTCAAGGACAGAGAGGGGGCAGTCTCAGCCCCTCTCTGTCTGTGTACCTGTTCCTAGGAGGGGTGGAGCTGAAGATGAACCCTCTGCTATTGGCATCCCAGGAAGCTGGAAGGGCTCAGCATTCCCATGATGTTTTTGGCAGCTCACACGGGATCAGGTCCCAAATGGAGAGAGGCAAGATAACACTCAGCACTAGCTACCTTCACAGAGCTTTGCAAACCTGCAGCCCTCGCTCAGTCAGTGGTCCCTACAATGTCCTTCACACAGGGGCTGGTAAAACATTTGTAACTGCATTGCAATTCATCACCAACAGGGACGGAGTGGGAGAGGCAGCAAGGCCCTTTCTGAAAAAAACACTCAACATATGTGAAAGAATTACCTGAATGGCACAGTTCACGCTCACCGGTATCCCAGAGCCAGGCCGATAGCCTATGATCTATGAAAAGAAAAGCATTCATGCAACTGTGAGCTGCGCAGCTTGTCCTGTGACACCCAAGCGCTATCACCATCCCACTCCAGAGGTTCTCTCTCCCTCTTAAGCTTATTTAGCTGATCAGATTGCAAACCAATGCAAGTTACTTTGGAGGCATTTTCTGCCATGAGCCAGTGGGGTCATTCACCCCAAAGTGGGGGGAGGATGCACCTGCCCACTTGTCCTCCTTGTGGGTCTGACCCCCCCAGAACTCAGGAATGGAGAAGACTAACAGGCTTTCTGCCCCTTCAAGGTGAGGCTCTCCAGTGAACTCTACATGAAGGGACACCACCCCCAACAAAAACATTTTCTGAAAGTTTTCCACTTTGGTGGTCACCCATTTCAGAAAGAGCCAGGTCTACTAGGCAACTAATTTCTGCTGTTTCCTCACATGACCATTTGATCTTAGCTTGACACAGATGAGCCGATACATCACATATTGAAAATTACTACAACGATCACAATCAAAAGGCCAGCCCCTCGTTCTTTCAAAGCTTTTCCAAGCAGCTTATGTATTCTACATTTATTTTGCCAGCAACTTGCCCTTTGATTCTAGGATATTTAAAGATTTCAGATTATGCACTGGTCTTTAGAAAATGCACAACTATAAAGAGAGCAGAATAGGGGACATGACCTCCGAAAAATAGCTTAATGCCTGGAAAGACATCCCAACAAAGAATTACCTTCCTGTTGCCTGCTTCTTGACCAAATCAAGGTGCCAGGAGCTTTGTAAATTTTCTTTGTTGGAATGTCTCTTCCTCTGAATGAAGCTATTTTCCACCTGATGTGGGGATCTAATTTTAGAGCTGATTGTACTAGCTCAGAAAATTAGCCTAGTTTCAAACCCAGCATAATAATTAATTTATAGTACTATCCAAGGAAGGAATTAAAATGACCAGGTTTTTTGATACCCGGTTCATCTTCAGTAAGATGCACGGCTGGCCCGTAGAGTAGCCAAACGTAGGATCCTCAATCCCAGAACAGTTCTCCAGTTGAGAGCGCTTGAACTGGCAGGCTTTCTTCTCTTCACTTTCCTTTCCATCTTGAACAAAGTACCGGCCAGCCGGGCACTCAATATTCTTTTCCTCTTGAATGTTGTCATTGTAAGCTAAGGTGAACCAAGAGCTGGTTAATACATTATGCATTATCACAATCTATCCCTACATCAACGCTGAAGTTGTCAAAGGCCTTGAAGGAGCTGGAAAATCTCTTCCCAAGAGACAAAGTTTAATACCAGATCCAGCAGTCATCATGTATAGAAAATGCACCAACTTTAGCAATGGTAAATTGTTCATAATAAGTAGGGATTGGCATCACCAAGTTACATGATAGACACTTGACAGAATTTCCATGCTTAGAGATGGATGGTGGAGGGTGAGGGCTATGTCATTCAATTTTTTTGAAAAATCACCATGGACCTCAAAAGTTTTACCACTGACACTTGTGTCCAAGAATGGATGTGCTGCCAACCCTTCATACTGAGGCAAGTATTACAGTCCTCACTTTAACGGGGAGGATTCAGGGGGCACCAAGTGATGAGCTGTCTTGTCAAGATTATACACTTGTGACCCAATTCTATAACTTCAGTGGACCTCTACTCAAGGACCATGCAGCTGAAAGCTAACTACATGCAAAAATCTTCATAGGGTTAGGAAACCTTACTCAACAGCAGGGCTGGAAATAGAGCCTAGACATTCACTCCTCTCCCCATCACATTCCAGCCCCTCTCAATGAGAGTCTTGAGCAGGTAGAACCTTTGGAAACTAATGCTTCTCCGGCCTGAAAAATGAATGAATGGGCAGGGAACTAGGAGCATTGATTTTTTGGGATAGTTTGTGCTTCACCTTTTCTTTAGAGTACTTTCATATTTATTGCAAAGGCAACTGAAAGCAAAGGGGTTGGACTTGCTGCTCTGCAGTCTACTAAGCCTTTCCTGTGGACTTCTGTTGACATGCCTTCCCCTGTCCTCTTCTCCCATCTTTCTTGGGGTCCCATGTGGTTTGTTTCCTTGCAGTTTATTTTGACAGTGGGGGCTTAGCTGCAGCAAGCCTGTGTTCTTATCAGGATAGCATGGCAGGAGCAAAAAGTAAAAGGAGCGAACGCTCAGGTTCACTTCACTCCAAGGAAGCTGCCCAAGTGCATTGCAGGAGGTTGCAGGAAAGACCCTTGGAAAGGGGTGTGTTCCCCCACCACATTTCCTACGTGGCTTGGCCTAGATTGGACATGGTCACTGTCATCTCCTAACATCTTTATAACATCGGATCTTTTGGAAATGTCATGGAGCTATCAGCCCCAGTTTAGCTGACATGATGTGTGGGTTGGCACCACCTCGTCCATATTGCCCAGTGTCTGCAGAGTATTTTACTGTTTATTAAAGGTAAAATAAAAGCTTCTAGAACAAAGTTCTATAAAGACTGTGCTTTATTTTTAAAGAGCCAACCAGTTTACCTTGCAGGAAGTGATGCATGCTGTTCACATAAGGTTTCCATGTGCTGGGTTCAGAGACATTGAAGGCAATGGTAAATCCATGTAAGTATGGTCTAATCATTACTCCTGGTAAATAAAAAAGGCCTTTGTTGTATTAACAAGTCATGGAGATTCTGTTGGCTCAGGTATGTAAGTCTAAGAGGTTAAATTGGGTAATGCAGATTAATACATTGCATTATTTTATTATTTATTTACATTGCAGTAGAATCTAAGTGCCTATTATGGAGCATCTGCCTTACACTGGCCCACAAGGTGTTAATAGAGGCACAAGAGGCAGCCAATTAAAGAGGGCCTTTGGGAGGCTACAAGAAGCAGCCAATCAGAGCCAGGCAGGCCCAAATAAGGAGGGCTGCAGGGCACAGCAGCGTCAGTTGCTCCCTGGAGCTCAAGGAAGGAGAACAGGCTGCCTTGAACAACAAAACTTAGTGCACACAGGACAGAGCAATGATGCCACCAGTTCAGGGTGAGGTAAGGATGGCTCTTCCTCAGCTGCAGGGATTCACAGGCCGAGGCCCTGAAACAAGAGTGAAGAGGGTGCCAAAGTCCATGGGAAAGTGGCCCAGAGAAATGAGCAGAGGGGCCGGAGGGGGCACATCAAGTGGAGGCCATCTACAGGGTCCCTGGGGTGAGACCCAGCATAGTGTGCAAGCCCAAATCCTCCTACCCCTCACCACTGAGGACATGGCCAGACACTGGACTCAACTGCAGTTCTCCTGAAAGGGGGAAAACAGAGCATGACATGTCTGGTGGGCTGTGTCATGAAGAGGATGCTGTGGTCCCAAGAGTAATGTGGGCCATAAGCGAGGGCAGCGAGACACCACCAGAGGAGGGCACACTGTGTGTCAGAGTTAACTCCTGAAACAGTCAGCAGAAGATACTGCAGTGGCGAGAAAACCCCGTTAAAGGGCCATAACCAGGTTCTGTCCCATTGTGCGAGGTGCTGTAGAAGTACATAAAATATTACAGTGTTGCCTTGTGAGTTAGCAAATAAATTTAAGCTTCCCCCTGATTTTATGGAGGCAGTTTAAGACCGAGGGGCTGATTTTCCTCTCGTATTCATTTTACACCAGTGTAATCCATGGAGTTTAAGGGGGTGCCTGATAATTTGCCACAGCAAAAGTGTGAGGAGAACCCACCCTTTTGGGACATGCCTATTCTTGGTCCCCAAGATCTCAGTAACGCATGGGGAAAGCAAGGGCACCTGGTGTTTCAAATGGAAACAGACAAGCAGGAAAAATATATTTAAAAAAAGATTTAAACAGTGTTTGCATTTCACCAAAAAAAGGAAAAAATGTAAAAAAGGCAAAACATTTTTATTTATTTTTTTGGCCTGGGTTTCACCTTTAAGACTTCAGTTTAAAAGGGCATCAGTGGAACTGAACAACCAGTCTACTAATAGCTTGTCATGTGAATGTTAGGTTATTTGTACATCTTGGGAAAAAATTAGAATGGATACTTCATGTTTGGGTATTTAAAAAAAATAGCATCTTCTTGAGCAGTCATGTGATTTGAAGACCTGTAGTATCATTCATGACACCATTATATCAGCATTTATACTTGGTATCACACATGATTACAATAATCCTAGTTACTGGTTTCTGAGTACGTGCTTGACATTATGCAAACATAGTAAGACACAGTCCCTGCCTCAAGAAACTGACGGTATGTCTACATTAGCCCCCTAGTTCGAACTGGGGAGGCTAATGTAGGCATTCAAAGTTGTAAATGAAGCCTGGGATTTAAATATCCTGGGCTTCATTTGCATGTTCCTGTCCGGTCGCCATTTTGAAACTCCACTAGCCCGAAGTAACTGCCTGCGGCTACACGCGGCAGTGAAACGGCAATTCGAACTAAGTCCTTAATTCGAATTAACTGTTACTCCTCCTGGAATGTTACTTCGGGCTAGTGGAATTTCAAAATGGTTACTAGATTGGAACATGCAAATAAAGCCCGGGATATTTAAATCCCAGACTTCATTTGCAGCTTCGAATGCCTACATTAGCCTCCCTAGTTCAAACTAAGGGGCTAGTGTAGACGTACCCTGACAGTGTAATTGACTCATCTTTTCACTGAGCTCCTAGAAATGAACAAGAGTCCTGAGCTCCTAACTGACACACACCAGGCGAGATCTTCAACTGGGGTCAATGGACACACTGCCACAGGCTTGCTTCACACCAGCCGAGAATCTGGCCCAATGGAAAATTAACAGTCTACAAGTTCTCAGGGAAACAACCTCTGTCTCTGGCTGCACCCTTTCACATTAACACATATCGTTCCTGCAGACTCTCCTCAATGCGCCTCACCTTTGAAAAGACTGTTCCAGGCATGACAAGAAATGTGCCGTTTAATCTTGTCTGCAGAATTTCACATTAGATTTCTCCATCAAGGAAATGGAATTGCAGCTGCCTAACGCCCTTCCAGCAGCCACAAAGACAGAACATGCATGTGGGTGGCTATTAGGTATATAAAGGGTTACCGGTCACCCAGTAAGCATGTGCCTTACCGGCATGCTCACCGGAGTACTGGTTAACCGGCGGTCTGCCCCGGATGGAGCCGTGCAGTGGGCTCAGCCTGCCTGTCCAGAGCAGCCTGCAGCACAGTGGGCCTGGCCAGGCTGGAGCAGCCCTCCACCCCGGGATCCCAGTTAAACACGCAGTTTAACCGGTTAACATTGTAAATGGGATTTTACATCCCGAGTGGCTACCAAGACCATTCCTGCAGTCGTAGGTCAGCAGGGGGCTTGGAGGGCTGTGGGAATGTGCTTACCTGGCGGAGAGACTCTGTCCCTGTATGTAGGCGTGTAGGGCCTCAGCGTGAGCAGCATCCCGTACATACAAAAGGAGAACATGCCAGCTAGAAACATGTAGAATATGAGGTAAAAGAATAAGATCAAGCCTGAAAGAGAGAGAGCACATGTCACTGTTAGCACAGTTGCTTTACTTCCACTGTCACAAAGGACAGACCCAATCACTCTTCTTTGCATCTGGTTTTTGCTAACCCTGCCTAGAGTCCTTAATTACAGAAGTAGCCTTCCCCTGATGCAAATCCCCTCAAACTCTAGCAAAGTCTGGGTCAGAGTCAGCGTTCCCTGTAAGTTGGGGGCTTGTGCGACCGCTCAGGAGAGATTCGAATGGTGCCCAACTGATTAGCACAGTGCCCACAGGGAGGTTTTTTGCTTCCTAGTGGTGTTGCACATGCAACATGCCTCAGTGCACATAAAAACGTATTCTGCACACGAATGGAAAAAATCCGCACACGGATGGAAAAGATTAAAGGGAACATGTCTGTTGGTCTCAGCCAGCCACTATCTGCAGCTGTTCTCACACAAACCATGGATCTGAATCCTCCTGGGAGCTGGAAATTCTCATATTCTGAGCTATAGCCACAGTTCATGGCCTGGCTCATCAGTCATAGGTGAGTCTAGACAGGATCTACATATGTACATTCCTACACTGGTGTGACGGCGGGTTGGGGGTCCCCCGTCTCCTGCACCCCGAAATGGCACAAACAGACTGCACCAGCCGGTGGAATAGAGGAAGGTTATTGCCTCTCCAGGATGCAGCACAGCACAGATGGAATCTGGTCACAGAGCTGGGCTAGGATGCCTCAGGCCCCCTTGAGATGGCGGAGACTGGGCCCCTAAACTCAAGCCCCTTTCCCTAGGCTGTCTCCTCCATGCTCTCAGACAGCAACTAACTAAGGGTATGTCTACACTACCCCGCTAGTGCGAACTAGCGGGGTAATGTATGCATACCGAACGTGCAAATGAAGCCCGGGATTTGAATTTCCCGGGCTTTATTTGCATAAGCCGGCCGGCGCCATTTTTAAATGCCGGTTTGTTCGAACCCCGTGCCGCGCGGCTACATGCGGCACGGGCTAGATAGTTCGGACTAGCAAGCTATTCCAAACTATCTGTATGTCCACGAGGCGTACAGATAGTTCAGAATAGCTTGCTAGTCCGAACTATCTAGCCCGTGCTGCGTGTAGGCGCGCGGCACGGGGTTCGAACAAGCCGGTATTTAAAAATGGCGCCAGCCGGCTTATGCAAATAAAACCCGGGAAATTCAAATCCCGGGCTTCATTTGCACGTTCGGTATGCATACATTACCCCGCTAGTTCGCACTAGCGGGGTAGTGTAGACATACCCTCACTCTCTTCCAGCCCTGCCCCCCAGCCAGGGCAGCATTCCACCTTCCTTTGTTCCTCTCCATGGGGGGTGTCTGGCCATACTGGTTTGCATAGTGACTCATCCTGTTTTGCTGGGTCGTGGTACCCACGGCAGCCAGTGGGGGTTACCCCAGAGCCAGCAGCATAGAAACCAGCCAGGTACCCCCACTACATCACAACAGGATCAGACTGAACCCAGATCCCACCTACAACAGCTTCATACCCTTTCCGAATAGCAACAGTGACATTATAGACATAAAGAGACAATGGATAGCCACCCTCTAACACATTTTGAATTCCTTGGGACATCTCCACAGATAGGTAAATTGCCTCTCTTCTTATCCCACCATCCGCTTTTTGATACCAGGAACCACATTTTAAGGGAACATTACAAATAACATTGACTAGAAATTCAGCTCCTCTGAGATACATTTTACACTTGGCTACTTCACAAGATCAATGTCCAGAGCTATTTGGGGTTTTCGCTTTTCCAGGACCAGACTGAGAGTTGGGGTTGTCTTGGGAGAACAAAGCCTTGAATAAAAACCAGTAGTTTAGAAAGTAAAGTGAAGCCATAACACAGCCATTTCCCAGGGGAACCGTGATTCTGCTGGCGGAACAAGCCTTGAGAACACAGATGTGCACTTTCACCTCTGCATTCTCTAGGGCTACGTCTAGACTGGCATGATTTTGTGGAAATACTTTTAACAGAAAAGTTTTTCCGTTAAAGGTATTTCCGCAAAAGAGAGTCTAGATTGGCAAGGATGCTTTTGCGCAAAAGCATCCATGCCAATACAGATGTGCTTTTGCGCATGAAAGCTCTGATGGCCATTTTATAGCCATCGGGCTTTCTTGCACAAAAAATTAAGGTGCCTATCTACACTGGCCCTCTTGCGCAAGTATTCTTGCACAAGAGGGCTTATCCCTGAGCGGGATCCCTGAGGACTTATCCCTGAGCGGGAGCGTGAAAGTATTTGTGCAAGAGGCACTGATTTTGTACATTACAAAGTCAGTGCTCTTGTGCAAATTCAAGCGGCCAGTGTAGACAGCTAGCAAGAAATCTTGCTAGTCTAGACGCACCCTTCGTGTTTATGTTGGGTGGGATTGTAAGTGATGGGAACTACATGGAAAGGCAAATTCAACTGAGCTCTGAACAGGGGCTCAGCGGTAGGGTTACAGTGCAGCAGGGCTCCAGGGAGCTTGGCAGGGAGGATGAGGTTAGGGGGGACCTCTGGATGCCAGGGCCCTTCTGGAGGAAGCTATGCTTGAACTCTGTTCTGGAACAGAGAGCAGGTTCCAACCATGAGAGAGACCTGAACACAATTCCTGGCTTTCTTCTCTGGAAAAGTCTGGGATACTGCAGAAACAACGTGCTAACCCCCTGGAGAGGACAGAGCTGTTCAACAGCCACCTGCCTAAGGTCTCTCTGTGCTGGACAGGAGCAAAATCACAGAAATCCTGGGTGGTGAGCCAGGAAGCTGCAGAGGGGTGGGAGCTGAGAGGGACAGATGTCTGTGTGTACCCTACCCCAGATCTGCTGAGAGAGGAACTGCTGTGTCATCAGGCAGCAGGGAGCCCAGTGAGTAACCAGGTACCTCAAGATGTCTCCCACAAGTTCTCAGCACACCCAGACTGGCCATAGGCCAGATTCTGCTCTTGGTTGCACCAGGGTGAACGCAGTCACTCTACCACCGTCAATGGACTTACCCCAGGTGTACTCTTGTGAGCATGATTCTACTCCCAGTTACCTGACTGCCCACCCAGGAGACTGCATTGACATCAGCGGAGTATCTGAGAGCTGAAGCCAAGTGAACCCCACCCTTCCCCCTCCCGTAAGGGTCTTCCATGTAAGGAGATAGTTTTAGGCCTACCAGGGGTGAAAGTAACTTACATTTCTTACAGGTACTGTCCAATCGCATCCCAGGTCACTGCCAGCTGTTTAAGTAGCTCCCTACTGGCTTTTGCCACAGCTCAGCCTGCTCTTGCTGGAGCTACACACTGGGGCGCACCCCCTTACTTTCACCTCTGAGGCCTACACTCCCCGTGTATCTTGCTGTCCTCACCCTGCCTTGTGAGTCTGATCATGCAGCCTTTCCAACACTGCTAGTTTTTCAACCACCATTATTTTTCAGTTTTGCTTTGGCACACATGGGGCAAAACACTATCACAGAGGTAGCCTGGGCTCTTGCAAATCCTCACTGTAAAGCACAACAGCCGGCAAAGCAACCAGTCGACCCGCCGTTCAGGAAGGAGGAATGCTTATAAAAAATAGACTCTTTGAAGATTGGCTCATCCGCCTTCATCATATGCCCTGAGAAGCCTTTCAGCTGGTATTTATGCACAATGGGAAAGCTTTGGCTGATTCCTTGCTTAGTGTTTATTATGAGGCCCCCTTATTTTAAAAGTGGGATCGACCCAATGCATAGATCTTGTTAGGTGCTCAAATGCCATGCTCTGCAAAAACCTATCGAGCCTGCTCATGTGAGCAGGAGAATGAGTGGGTATATGTGCACAAAGGTGTGTTACCAAATGTTGTACACACCAGGATGCTAAGGACCAAATAAATACAGTACATTGGTTGGTATAAAAACAAAATCCATGAAGGAAGAATTTAAGCATGGCTGGGGTCTAGAACCATTGTTTTTAAGATGTATGTATAATTTATTGTATACTAGGTGGCGAGGCCCATTGTTGACCAGGCAAAGTCATTTTGCACAGATTACACTTCAAGAAATTAAATATATAATAGAATTTTTGATTAATGTGCTTGCAAAAAGGAAATAAAAGAATAGTTTTAAATTTGTAGGAATTCAAACTTCAAACATTTTTCATTTTATTGAATAATTTCCATACATAGTAAATTTGAATCAGAAACTCATAAAGCTTGCATTACTCTTTCCATAACTAAATTGAATTATTTTGTGAATTGTAACTAAAAATTTTCTTGCACTAAAATGACAGTTGAATAGGTGACTCGATTTTAATTGTTAGCAAATATTTGTATAAACTCTAATCATAAGTCATGACTTTTTTCCAAAGAAAAACAAAAAAAAATTATTTACCCAGCATATTCCAGTTTAAAAAGTAGTGCATTCAGCACTAATTTATGTGGCAAGATTGGTTATGTAAAATTTGGTATCTGTAGGTAATCACGAAGTATGACTTTATTTTTCACAAACAAATTCATAAACAAACAAACTCTTCAAAATATATAATAGATGTAACCCACCCATGTGCATTCACGAAGGGATGGGGAGGTGATCCAGCATTATTAATTAAAGGTTTTGCCTGAAAGAGACACCACCACGGTTCTGAACATTTTCAGAAAATGAGGGTTTGATGCTTCAAGACCCACTGGGACTTTGAGTTAATTCACAGGATATGTCTACTCAGCAAGGCTAAAGTCGGATTAAGCTACACAACTTCAGCAATGTCAATTGCAAAGCTGAAGTTGAAATAGCTTAATTCAACTTTTGATTCTGTCTACACAGCAGGAAGTTGAAGGAAGAACACTCTTCCTCGACTTCCCTTACTCCTCATGAAATGAGGGTTACCATGAATCAGAGTAAGAAATCCTCCAGCTCTACATTATTTCAAAGTAAAGGCTTGTAGAGTACACAAACGCTGTTATTTTGGAACAATGTCAGTTTTTCCAAAATAACACTGCTGTGTTGATGTACCCCCAACGCTTTGTCTACACTGCAGGGTTTTTGCACAAGAAGCTTTTT